TTTTTATTAAAAAATATGCCCGCCGTCCTGAGTTGGTGCGATGTGGATAAAAGCTGCACAATTTCTCACGTCGATTCTGGTGGCAGCAGCAGCGATCGGTCCGACGAATATTCCAGCCCGTGCGGTGGCCGACAACCGAGCCAGTGGCGGGCCCGCGCAGTGCAGGTAGTGCGGGCTGGCGCCATTCGTCCTGCGCCACGGGGCGGGTCTGCTGGCCCAGCAGCCGGCCGACCGACCAGCCGCGCGCCGGGTGGCACACGTCTCGTCCCGCCCCAGCCAGCGGCACACATGCAACGATCCCAAGGGGGAATATGGCGATCTGTCGGCCCATAAACGACGCGCGTCGGGCGCGTGGGCCGATCCTCTTCGTGTGCGTATACGGACGCTGGCGCTTTGTACCGAGTAGGTTTAGTCCCACCTCGCCCGCGGAGAGACGCGTCGACCGGTTTACATACCCGCGTCTTCGCCTTCTCACAAGCTCGCTACAGAACATGATGCCCTGTTGTGCGCCGTGGCCTCCCCGCTCGGCGGCCGAAAGGCCTCGCCAGAAGGCGTAGTAGTTTACTGTCCGCGCGCGCGCCCGGCCACGGCTGGGGCTTTTTTTTTACAAAACAATTGTCACATACATTACATTTTAAAAAATTTCATAAGTTTACTATGTCATTACAAATATAATATGTTTCACACAAATATAATATGTTTCACACATAATAATATAAATCGCATGTCTCATAACATTGAGCAAGGTGGCATAAACATTAAGTCAAAGTGCCATGTCTATTATTCTTAAACAAATAAACTGAAAGTGCTAACGACTTTCATCAAACAAGGTGGTTTAAAGAATAAACTCAAAGTGCCATGTCTCTTATTTTTAAACAAATAAATTGAAATTGCCAGTGCCTTCAACTGATTATGAGTACTTCATCTTTATGCCCGGTTCCTACATAACAAATTGTAAACAAATAATCAGACAATTATGAAGACAAAACCAAAAAATAGTTGAAAAAATGAAAAACTTACTTTTCATTCTCAGGGCATGTTTGCCGTCTATGGCCCTCTTTCTTACAAATGCCACAAAGAGGACCGGGTTTTTTCTCAGAAAATGATTTTGGTCTTCCATTCTTTGTAACATCTGCATCTTTCTTTGCCCGCCCTGTCCTGCTCTCTTTAGGGGCGCCCTTCGTGGAAACTTTCACGGGATCACCTATGACATCAACATGTTGTTCCGGCTCATGTGGATCCTCATGCACATTTCTTGTACTACCAACAGCATCATCATCAGGGACCTTTTTCTTCGCTATTATATTCTGCAGCACTACATCAACTCATCATAGACGAATGGATCATTTGAAGCAACATGAAAAGCTTCAGCTCCTGTTATACTAAGTTGACTATAGCGAGCACGCTGCTCTGCCCCTGTCCAACCCCAGCCAAACAAGTCGCTCTTTCGCTGTGCAGGCAGCCCACCTCTCGCAACTTTCGACATCCTCTTAAGGATGCAACACTTAGGTATTTTAGATTTTTTAAGATGAACCAACACATACAGAATGTGTTTGCAAGGCAATCCTTTCCGAAGCATTCGTCCACAACTGCAGTCTATCGTATTCTCAGAGTTTTCAGCTCGATAATTCACGCTGAACTGAAATTTCCGGTTATTTCTCCATGTCATGATGAAGGTGTGGCAGTCAACTCCCACTAGCGTCTCAAAAATCTCAAGTTCTCCCATCTTCTTCAGATCTTGTTGAAGAATATAAAAATTGGAATGAGTGAATACTTCGGCGGCATGCTTCTCAATATCCTTATATTCTGTGACTGTTGGTGGCAATGACTGATTTGAAACACAGTCATCATGCGCCTCGTTCTCACGTAGTCGGACTATGCAATTCTCATAATGCACAACTAGGTCAACAATAGTCATACCGCCGTCCAAGTGCAGGTGAAGACAAGAGTTAAGACTTTCACTCCTTTGATTACTGCGCATACCCAGAAAAAAACCATCTGACAGATATGATGCTGCCCACAGACTCCTCTTCCTGTACATCCTACTCAGCCACTCTTCTGTTTTATCAGTCTTCCATTTACGGACGAAAGCGTGCCATCTCGCCTCAAAGTTGGCTGGAGAGGTGGAGTAGTACAAGAGTGCCCTGAACTCACTTAGCGATTTGTAATTAAGGTGCTTCTGTATGTTTTTTTCCACGTGCCATGAGCAGAGACGGTGCAACACATCAACCAAAACCAACCGAATAGCTCGTATCATTGCAGCATCTCCATCTGTGATGATTGACCTTGGCTTTTTCTGACAACTGGCCTTCAGGAATGTCCGAAGCAGCCACACGTACGTCGCTTCGGTCTCGTCGGACACAATGGCACAACCAAAAATTGTGGTGCAACGGTGATTGTTTACACCAACAAAGGGGATGAACGGCATACCATATCTGTTCATCTTATACGTGATGTTGAACACCGTCACATCTCCATACAATTGATAGTCCCGCCGCGACTGTGCATCGTACCAGAACATGCTCTTCAAACGGCCCTCCTTATCGAGCACGTACTCAAAGAAAAACTCTGGATCCTTCTCCTTTCTGCTCCTCATAATCCCGATTGCCGTGTTAGCATCACCCGTCGCAATCAGCTTCATTTTTTCTCGGCAACATAGATTGTACACGTCTCCTCTCAGAAACCCACACTTATCATACGAGCCATACCTGCTAATGAAGTTCTCAACGATGATATGCTTTCTGATCCCAGCTCCTTCCATCGCCAAGATCTCAGCTATTTGGTGATCTCCCATCACTCGATGTGACCGCAGAAATACCACCTCATCTGGTCTAGCCAACAAATGGTTGTGATCATCCATAAAAGCTGCCACGAACCAAACTCCACGTCCTTTGTCCAACTTCACGACTAAATGTGCGCCACACTCGCAACGAGTCTCTGGTCTTAGCCTGCGTGTACGGCCCTCCGGGTTTAAAAATTTACTGAGACGTTTTCCTGCCATCGAGCAAACGTATCTCCTATACCGAACAGTGGTTGAAAGTCCTTTTCCTCGTTTCACCTTATCTTTTCTGATACTGAATCCACGGTCTTTGGCGTAGTTATTATAAAACATGTGAGCCTCCCATTGTGATGCAAATGTCATACACATAACCTTCAACTGTGTCTCCAGCGCACGTTGCTGGATTTCAGCTTCCTCAATGTCCATATTAGCTCCATCCTCATGCTCATATCCATTTTCACCACTCCAATCATCAAAGTTAGCCTAAATTATTCCACATAAGCAAGTGTAAGTTGTCATAACCATTTTTTTTATTATTCAATGACATCTTAAATTTTGGACCGAACCTGCTTTATGTTATCCCCGAAAGATTCAACACCATGATTTTCCTCGTTCTGAACGTCAATATCCTCCTGCACATAAAAAAAATCATATGCACGTGTAAGTACCATATGGTTCTTCATCCGACGAAAAGAATGTACATGACACTTACGTTTTCACTACAAGCACCCTCCTCCTTCTTTTCAAAATCCTCTTCAGGTAAATTATCGTACGACGACCAGGATTCATTGTCGCTGCCATCATCATCATCTTTACTATCATTACCATTCGTACGATCAACACTATCGCTACCATCCCAACTCGTGTCCAAAAACAGATCCGTAAATCCAGTTTCTTTATCCATTAAATGATCTCTCAACCAACAGTGCAATATTATAATAAAAAATTGATCTATCAATTTTAAATCAAATTAAATGTACTACGATCATACAGATGAGAAATTCTTATCTAACAAGTGATTGCACATAATTATTTACAGATTCAATTTTTTGACGAACTAGACGGCTTACATGGCATGCACGTGCACTTCGGCTGGCCTGCGTGGCTGCGGACGGCGAGGACGTTCCCGGAGAGGTTGATCACCGAGTTGCGGGCGGCGACGGTGTCCACGTAGGCCATGTCACCGTGACGACCTGCACGGAGGCGACATCACGTACGGCGGGCGACTCCAAGATCTGTCCGCGCCGGCCAGATCCCGGGTAAAGACGGGGAGAAGGCGGCGATCAGCCGAACGGGAAGACGTTGGAATTGGCAGCGTGATCACGTCTAGATCGGCGGGGAAAGGCGGCTATCGGCGGGTAAGGGCGGCGATCGGCGGGTAAGGGCGGCGATCGGCGGGGCGGGGCGACGTTGCAATGGGCCGCGTGATCAGCGCAGGTCATGTTTTTTTTTGCGCGAAGGGGAGAGGGTAGTTGCGAGCGGTCGTATCGGCTCGAGCCGTGCGCTCGGCTCTACCTGTATGGCCACGCCGCA